CACCGTAGGGATTTTCAGAAATGTCTACAGGTTCTTGAAATGCATTGCACAGTCCTCCAACAGAGTCTACTGATTCACATTGATGCACTAGGAGGTGGTTTTCAATAACCCCTGAGTGGATTCAAGAGTTCTGAAGTTCAGATTGTCCTTAAGGTGGTTTCAGTTGTTCATGAAGGGATTTGACGGTGTATAGTCTGAAAAACAGTTAAAAAAACTTGGACTCCAGTGTTATGGCTGTAAAAGAATGGTGCTCAAAGATGTTTGTCTTAGAAGGTTTCCAGAGTACCTAAAGGGGCCTTCAAGATTCTTTATTTAACTTAGGTATCCATCTACGGTATTTCAAATGATCCTCAAAGTGCTTTTAGTTGTCTTTCAGGTTGTTGCTTGTTTTCCTCTTTCCAAAGTGCAATACTTGAAAAATTCTTATTTGTGGTGTACTGTTGTGATCCTGTAGTATGCTCTAATTCAAAAATAGACTATGGATCCATGAATCCAGAATAGTTTTGAATCGAAAATAGATTCTGAATCTAATCGTGACCCCAAGAATCTAAATTGAATTGAATCGTAAGACACCCAAAAATTCCCAGCCCTAGTCGATAGTCGTCTTCACCTTCTAAGTCAGAAGGAAAATGAGTTTAGTTAAGAAAACTTCAGTGAATAATTTAAACTAGTATTCTTGCCATATCTTCAAAATCTGTTTAGTGACACATTTCCTAGAAGGTAACATAACCATTGCCATTTTTGAAACCATAGATACTTTTAAGTACACACTATGTGATGATGCAGACGTTGGACTCCTCTCGGCAGTAGTCAGGGGATTACATTTGAAATACCTTGATTTTTGCATTTTCTTACTAATGACAGTCTAAAAGTGTTCAGATCAAGTTACATCTTCCACTGAAAAGTTGTGATAAATTATTTAAGGCAAAGCTTGTATATAGGCACCTGAAACTGGCTGACACATTACACCTTCTTTAAAAATAGATGCTAATCTGTATTTACTATTATGCATAATCTCCAGGCTAATAGCATCTGATCCAGACAGTGATTTGGGCTGTTGTGTGTCTGTCTACATGTTTTGGATTACAGCACTGTGTTGTGTCATGCTGTTAGTGATAAATACAGATACTGACTCACAGCTCTGTTATATGAGGATAAACTCAGCTAGAACCAGCATGGCAACCCGCCAATCCAGAGCTATCTCAATGTCAGTTTGAAAAGCACACAGTTAGCCGGCAATTCCTGGCCTGGCTTGGCCTTGTCTGGCATGGACACAAATGAGTATGCTCAATCCAGATTGTGCAGATCAACATAGAGAACTTTCTCAGAAATCCTAATCTGCAAGGGATAGAGCTGGCTTAGACAATGGATTATAGTGCATTAAGGAGGTGTTAGATATTGGTCATAAGGCATTCAGAGTGACTTAAGATGGGTTCAAAGTAATTTAGAAGGGTTTAAAAGGCTTATAAGGTACTTTAAAATGGGTTTTATAATATTAAATTACACGTCTGGCCTTTTGAATGATCTTTAAATTTGATCAGAATGGTTTTTAAGCATTGATATTGAGTAACACAAGGTATCTAAGGTAGCTCTGAATAGTTTCCAAGGAATTTACAACTGTGGAGGATCAGTAATACAATAGATATAATAATAGAAGGGCAATTGTGTATATGGTTGTCTTTCAATTGGTACGCACAATTATAATGTGCTTTGCTAATGAGGTTTTGTTATTGAGTTTGTTCGCTAAATTACAGAAAAGCTAGTGTTCCATTTTTGTATTCACTTTGTGGAAAGGTGCAGCGTGTGCCAGTGTGAACCTGTCAAATCTTGAGCTCATGAATCTGACTCAAAAATCCAAACGAATCGTCATCATTTTGAAAGTTTACCGAGGGCTATATGGTGGTCTATGTTTTAGGTTTGAATATGATAGAAGATTCGACTTTTGGCCTTGTGGGAAGTCTACTCTATCCACGTGCCTAAAAGTTTAAGATGGATTGCAATGGGTTGTAGGATTTTAAGAACATTTAAAATGGGCTATTGTGCAATAGATGTAAACTACAATAGATGATAACAGAAACAGAATCTATAAATTAGTAATAAGGCATTCAGAAAGGGGTTGAAATTGGTTATAGTGTTAGGGTTTAAATGGTGTATACTGCAATAAACAAAATCTATTTAGTTTTAGTTTTTTCAAGCTTCCATCACAATTGTCTCCAGTTAATAAAAAAATAAATTCATAGCAGACTGTTAGACCAATTATTTAGGTTCTAAAAAGGGTTAAAATGAAATATGAGCCTGAAGATTTAAATAAAACTAGATAACCTGGACTGATCTGTCTTATGTAGAAAAGATTCAACCATATATCTCCAACCATTTTATACAGATCAGTATATAAAACAATCTAAAACATCCTGGTATGAAAAGACTTAACTAGCTGTAGGATGTGTTATGATGGATCATTATTTTTCACTCAGATTGGGTTATGGTGCTGCTAGGATGGGTTAAAATAGGTCGTTGTGACCTGGGTTACAATGAATTTACAATGAGTATGAAGGCTAACAGTGCATTTATAATTGGTTAAATTGGTTTTCTAACATAAAAAAATGGGATGAAATGAATAATAAAGCATCTCAAATTGGTAAAACTGGTTTGTAGAGTATTTAAAGAACTAAGTGGGTTTACCTAAATTAAGTTGGACAGATGGACTAAACCAAGAAGACTAAATGTTCTTCCCCTCCTCTTCCTCCTCCTCTGTCAGAGTTGATTCAGTTGCTCTCAGTGCTTTTCACCCACACTCTGTTGTTACGAAATAATTCACTACAGGGCTTCTGCAAGCTGTGACTATAAAGGTACACCGAAAGAACAATAACACTTATTCTCCAGCAGGTCCACTCTTTTTTGTGTTTGTGTATACCCTATATGTAACACCTTCTCATGCGTAACTGGGAACAAACACAGCTGCAAGGAGGTTTAAATTTGGATTTGACTTTCAAGGCATCACGACTTTTCCTCAGATGGCCCGCACACACAAGGATGGCACGGAAAATAATGTCTTAATTTGACTCATTGTGGCTTTTACATGTGTTATGGTTCAGGTTATGATATGATGTTAATTCTGAACAACAATGTAGACACATGTTTTTCTTTTTACAGTTTTACAGGCACATTGTTTTGGTCACATTGTGTCACACTAAGTCAATTTATAAGCAAATCTCTGCCTCTTCAAATTGAGATGAAGAAGAACTGAGATGAGCGTAGCAACCCTCTGTGGCCCTTTGGCAACAGTACACACGGACTCATTATGGGAGCCGCTTATAAACCTATTTCTCTCTTTTTCTCTCTTGATTATTACTTTCTTCTGCCTCCAGCAGCTGGAACTCCATATGTTCTTCATGTTGTTACTGTTAAGTACAGATCAACTGTCAGTCTCAAGGTCAAAATAACATCAATAAATCTGTATTTGCACAAAAGGGAATTAGTTCATCAGAGGCTTTGCCCAAACGTATATGCATTACTTAGCAATATATATGTTGGGTGAGGTTCATGCTAACAGGTTAGCTTATAATATGTATTTTCTGACTTGTTAACACCAATGTTTTATTTGAATGCAACGTTTACATAAACCGTGAAGTTATAAGATGTGTACCATTAAAGAGAAAGATGAGAGCAGAGTGGCGCTGTCTGTAGAAAGGTTATATTTAAACACAAGTTTTGCCCTGAGCAAAGTGTTTTTTTTTAATACCAACTGAAGGCTCCAGCTTCTTAACAACAAAAACCCTACACAAATGAGAAAATTAAGCATCTGCAGCTACCCTGAAAGAGGCTTGATGTTTTCTGTAGGAGCCATGTTTGTGAAGTGCTAAAACAAATTGTTCCAGCAGGTGTCGCCTTTGGGTTAAGGTGAAACTCTATACAGGTAGGAACTATCACTGGGGTGTCAGGTGTTGCTAGACGGGGAGCAATTACACTTTTTTGACCGCTGTACGCCACGCTATGAGGTAACAGGAGTGATTGTAAATGGACATGTCTGGATTATTGTTTGAACAGTTCACATGTGACGGTAATCAAGACAATGAAGGAATGAGAAATAAATATTCCTAAACGAAGAAGATATTGGACTGTCTTATTTCGAATTCTTACGCTCAGGAGCGAAGCCAGCAAGCGCGTCAATTAATAGGCTAGATTAGCCCGTCTATGTAGCCCCTCAGTGGCTTTAAGTTTTAGGCTTAGCCGCGATAGAGCAAAGTGATTTTTTAATACCAACCGAAGGCTTTCAGCTTCTTAACAACAAAAACCCCACAAATGAGAAAATTAAGCATCTGCAGCTACCCTGAAAGAGGCTTGATGTTTTCTATTAGAACATCTTTCCAAAAAGGGGATATTATACTTTTCCATGTTCGTAAGACATGTCGTTAAAATGTTAGGTATTTGTTTTTAAATCCAAGCAAAAGTTTCAAATCAGGAGGTAAACATGTCCGAGTAATCCCTCTGTCTCCAGAGTTCAGTATAAAAGTTGCTCTGAATCCAAGGTTTTCTCACATGGTGATCTTGTGACATCACAAAGTCACGGAACTCCTTACATGGTCATATGCCCCAGGTACAGCAGAATGAGGACACGCCCACTTTGCCAGGGTTTCTCAGAGTTTACCAATCCGAAGAAAGTGTGTCTGTAGGTAAAGAGAGAGTACCTGTGTCAGACAAAAGCTTAACTGACACCAGGATGAGTTAAATAAAACGTTTTTTAATTGTAAATCATGAAAAGCGACTAGAGAGGCTTTACATAGTAAAAACATTACACAAGCACAATATTGGCTCATTAACAAACTATGCCACTAATTGTTTGAGCCATTTTAAAAGGACATGACTTTCTTTGTTTGATGTTGAACAGACCACTACTTAGCTCCACAGATGCCTATGGGACCGAAGAGCGCACCAATCATTAACAATGTATGTAGTTATTGGAAATCAATCACTCAAACTTTCTGTCTCTCTGTCTCCAGGAAGTGGGTGTGGTGCAGTGGGAGGAGCACTGCCAGGGCTAATAGGTGCCACTGGTCCCTCTGTGATGATGAAACCGTTCCTGTCATTTCCTGTTGAGACGTCATCACCAGTTGGACTTTTCCCAAACTTCAACACGGTATGATTGTGTGTGTGTGTGTGTGTTTGTGTGAGGGGCAGTGTGAGGGGCAGTTATAGTGACATGATGTCGTCGCTGCAGGCGGTACAGACTGACTGCGATAAAGAGGCCTGTCACTTCGTCAGCATCACTCTGTCATCACTGTTCAGTCAGTCCTCAGCAGTCTGGTGACCTCTGACCTCTGTGTGTGTCCTGCAGATGGACCCGGTGCAGAAGGCCGTCATCAACCATACCTTTGGTGTCACGTTGGTACCTAAGAAAAAACAGGTCATCTCATGTAACGTCTGCCAGCTGAGGTTCAACTCTGACGTAAGAGTCTATGTTTTGGTTTTTCTGTGTGTTTGTGAGTGTGTTGAATCTTTGATCTCATCCTTTTTGTACTTACTTTGTACTCTTCTATGATTAACTTCCTATTATGTGGTCTATCTGCGGCGTAGTCTTGCTGCCCTCAACAGGAAATTTCCACAATTTCACAGCAAATCATCGTCTTGACTGTCCTCCCTGAGAATATGATCAGTTAAATTGCTGTGCTGCTCGAAAATATATGAATAGCTAAGCAGAGAAAGCAAAATCTGCAAAATCAAAAATGTCTTCTTTGAACATTTGTATTTTCAGACCTGCTCCATAAACAACATGGAAATAAGTGTTGTCAAGAAAAGTTGATGATTAGCTAGGATAGCAATTTCCCCCTGATTTTAATCTATATGCTAAGCTAAACACCTATACTGTGTAGTAAAAAACCTATGGGGTAATTATCAATACAACAGATCCATATTCTTTTCTAAGTTTCGAGAAGATAGAGAAGAAGAAAATCTCTTAAACGTTGACGTGAACCCTCAATATATTTTGAAGTTAGCTTCCTTGTTTGCTAGATAAACTGTAAAGGAGATCATTTTAGCTCTCATTAGTTATCAAACGTAAGTGATTTAATCATGTTTAATCATTAACAACCAGAACAACTTCACAAAAAGAGTGCACCAAATAAAAATTAGTATTCCGTTAGCATAGATTTCCCCTTTATAGTTTCATTACATTTTTGATAATAGTAATAAAATCCAGCTTTGTACCTACAATAAATCCTCACAGGGATGTATTAATGGGGTGTTTGAAACTACTAAATTCACAGAGTACTCCTTCCACATGTTCCTCTTTAAATGGGGCTAAATGTTAGCAGTTACCCCTGCTTACCTAGGCTACAGATACAACCCCGTCAGACTGTAGCTTTGGACACACAGCTATGAAAAAGATTCTCCATCTCATATGACTTGGGAGACAGAGAATTCAATGATTTTGGACCTTTCCTTTTATATTTTCCTAAATGACTTGTAAGCTAATAGACAATATGTGTGCTGTGTTTAATAACATTAGTATTCTAGCTTTGCCTCCAGCTAGTTCTATCTTATTAGCAAGTCAGGTCTATGGTTCAGGGGCTGGAAAAAAGAGATGACTGAATCTAATTTAAAATACCGTAGGGTTCTTAAATTAACTTATTTTGCAAGCTTTTGTTAGCATATGTTGCCTGGTAATTTCACAGCTTTCTTGTTAGTCACACACGTTGTTTTTTCTGCAAGTTTGATCCTGAAAATGACCAGAATGTGCAGTGCATTTTCTCTCCTTGCACTTTTGCTATAGCTATGCTATGCTGTGCTATTTGCAAAGGTAGGATAATCCTGACCAACCTCATGCAGTGTTTTTATAACCAGGTGTTGCCCCCTACCACTCCATATTAGTGCAGCATTGTGAACTCAGCTCAGCTCATTCATATAATGACGGCCAAGAGGAAACAAGGTTCTTGTTAGTGGCATGCCAATCAAACATGACTAATGTATGAGCATTTGAAATTATTCATGAGAGAACATAAAAACAGGAATCACTGCGTAAGAGACGAGACAAGACGATGAGAGGAGTAAAGCATTAACTTCTGAACTGAATAAAAGCTGAGTCACAGAGCTTCCAGACAGTCACATGAGGACAATGCTGACCTGAAGGCTTGTAACAGTGCACTTACACACTGTCACTCTGCGCTGATACACTGTGTGGTGACACCTACCGTGAACAATAGTTTACATTGTAGAGTCGCTCAGTTTAACCTGACAATGTCTTGCATTTTTCTGAAAAACTGGTGAAGGGTTTGATATTTATTATCAGTGAATTATGTTAAATGTTCATAAACAAAAAGTAAAGAAAATAAGGCAAAGGGATCCTGTCTTCTCTAAATTATTATTTTCTTAATTAAAGGCATTAAAGACCAAAAAAGTATAAATAAATTGTCAATTTTATTTCATTCAAAAAAACCCAATAAAGTTAAGAAAAACAAACAAACATAAAATCTAAAATTTTGAATGAAAAGGAGCAGAGAGAAGATTAATCTTATAATATCTGCCCCTCGTCTACAAAACATTAATTAAAACAAAACAGAACACTTAATTCAAAAACAATTTAAATTAAATTGGCTGCAGGCAAACAAAACAAAAAATCAAGCATGGATCCACTGAAAAAAAAAAAAATCAGCCAGGGAAAGTAGAGAGAGCGACATTTTCCAGCAGCTCCTCACCTTTTGACTGTTAAACAAACTAAATAATTTCCAGTTATAATGCAATTGGATGGTCAAAGGTAAGGTTGAATATGTTCTGTCTCTGAATGAAACCATTTTTTGAAAGATAGTGAAGTTAATCAGATGTTCATGTTCATTGTTGTATCCAAGCTTCACCAAACGCCATTTCACAGAAAAACTCTTGACATTGTCTTGATAGATTCAAGTTGTTCAGGCCTTTAGATTTTGGGTGCTACTTGGGTAGCACATTCACCAATGGTGGTTTATGTGTTAATATCACAACAACATTTACAAGGCCTTTTCTTCTAAACAAACTAATAACATGATACAGACAACTAAAGAGAGCAGTAAAGAGTAGAGAAACTCCACTAACGTGAATGACATCATGGTCTGACTCATTTGCTCTTGGTAAATTTCCCATTTACCTCTTTTGTTTACATATTTGCTCCCCCTGACTTTACACTGACATTTCACCAGTAAAAAAACCTCTGTATTAAGTCGAGGTGAGCAGATTCAGCCATTGACACATGCAACCCATGGGCAGTCAATTCTACACCATCAGCCTGTCAGAAAATGTCAGGAATCTTTCTCTTGTGCAGTGTATGTGTGAAAGGGTCTTATGTAACCTCATTTTAAAAAGCTAAAGGGCAAGGGTCTAGACACAAATATAAATATATAAAAAAAAAACATCTGTGTGTTTTTTTCCTCAGTCTCAAGCAGAAGCCCATTACAGAGGGAGTCGCCACGCCAAGAAGCTCAAGTCTCAGGAGAATAAAGTCAAGGCCAAGCTGTCAATCAACGGAGAGACCAATGGGACCAGCACAAGTCCTTCTGGCCACACCCTTCCTGTATCTGCTAACAGCAGCACCAATCAGAACACAGGTTGAGTTATCTGCTAATAAAAATCACCTCAGTACTTTCACTTTATGCTGTTATTTATTTACAGTTGAGTTTGCTCTAATACCTCCTCTCTCTCTCTCTCTCTCTTTTCCTCCTCTTCTTCTTCCTTCCAGAGCTCTTACCCAGCCTCATGGACTCCACCTCTCCTATCAAACCCTTCCACCTTCTCTCCTCCTCCCCGCTCTCCTCCTCCTCCCCCTCCTCTAGCAGAGCGGGGAGCGAGCCTCCTCCCTCCAGTCCTCCCTCTGCTCTCCCCGCCCCTGGCCTCTCATCCTCCTTTTCCTCCTCCTCCTCCTCTTCTTCTTCTTCTTCTTCAAAAGCCTCCCCGCCTCCCCCTCTTTCAGCTCCTGTCATCTCTTCCGTGCTCCCGGCTCCTCCCGCTCCTGCCTCTCAGGCCGCCTCCCAGGATGCTCCTCTCTCTGTTGAGTCGGAGGAGGAGAAGGCAAAGAAGCTGCTGTATTGCTCGCTGTGTAAAGTTGCTGTCAACTCTCTGTCGCAGCTGGAGGCTCATAATGCAGGTAAGGAAGAACAACATGATGTATGGAAACACATCAGACTCATTACTTTATACAATCACATGAGGTATGAATAGTTTTTTTTGGTGTTTTGATAGTTTTTTCCAACTGGATTCTGTGTAAATCTGTGACACAGAGAGAAAAAACAACTAGAAAAGGGGAAAAAATATAATGAAATATAGAAGTTTAAAGAGATTATGGCTTTAGAGCTGCAACTATTGCAATGAAACACGTACTGACATATTAGTAAATTTATGTTTTCTCTTGTTTCATAGAAGTTAGTGTCTGTGTGTCTCTATTTACAGGTTCAAAGCATAAGACAATGCTTGAGGCTCGGAGCGGTGCTGGGCCGATCAAGGCGTACCCTCGACCCGGAGCCAAGCTGAAAAATGGGAGCACCTCCATAGTGAAGGGCTCGGGCCTGCAGAACAAAACCTTCCACTGCCAGATCTGTGACGTTCATGTCAACTCTGAGATTCAACTCAAACAGGTAGAAACACAGCGAGCATGGACAGTTAAAGTTCACCTAATATAGTGAAACCGTTTCTCAAAACTCACCTTCTCACAGTTTTACAATGCTGTTTGGCCGTATTAAACTCGGGCACAGTTTCAGCTCAGGAGGTAAACACGAGTTGAAGTAATCCCAGGATGAGACACCAGAGTGCGCTAAACGTCTTGTTCTGTTTAAGATGCGAGAGTTCCTCGAAACAAAGCAGCCCTGCCTGATGTGCTACATAGACTAGATGACTTTCGCGTCTGTGATAGTGTGTTTGTTGTTGTTGTTGCAGCACATCTCCAGCAGGAGGCACAAGGACAGAGTGGCGGGAAAACCCAGCAAACCCAAATACAGCCCTTATAACAAACAGCAGCGCGGCACACTCACCGTAAGTGTCTTTCTACCGCTTCTCTTTTCAGATGCAGGCTCTCTTAGAATTATTATTTTATTTATTTATTAGCCTGGATTCATCAGAACAGTATTACCCTGATTAAAACATTTATAAACCCAATTGTGAAATGTTGAATCAGTGATCTGATATAGTAAAAATATTATCAGAATAAACTAAATTTACTGGGTTCATTAATTTATACATTTATTTACTCTTTCTTTAAACATTTTTTTCTCATATTTCTTTGCATGTTCCTTTCTCCCCTCCTTAATACTCTCCTTTCCTCACCCAAATCCTCTTCTCTCCTTGTTACATATTTTGCTTGACTTGTCTTATCTTCTCTCCTTGTTTCTCTTCTGGTCCCTGCTTCCCTCCTTTCCATACCTCCTTTTTTCCTTTTCTCCTTGTCTCTCCTCTTCTCGACCCTCTCCTCTCCTCTCATCTCCTCTCCTCTCATCTCCTCTCCTATTTTCCCTGGTTCCCCAATCATCCTCTCCCTCTTCTTCCCCATGTTTCCCCTTCTTGTCTTCTCTCCTTCTCCTTGTTTCCTCTCCTCTTTCTCCCCCCAGACGGAGCTGGTGAAGCCCTCCCTCTCTCCCTCTTTCCTCACCGCTCCCTTCGCTCCTCCGCCCTCCTCCCTCTCCAACACCATCTCGATCCCTCCTACCTCTCTCTCCTCATCCCCCCTCCTTACCCCCTCCTCTCTCTCCTCCTCACCTCTCCTCACTACCACCTCCTCACCTCACCTCACCACTGCCATCACTCTGCATCATCGCCCTCCTGCCTCATCGTCACTCTTCACCGCCTCCTTCCTGCGTCCAGCTCCTGGACCAATCAGAGCGAGCCAAGGATCGATTCTTTTCGCACCCTACTGAGGGCATTGTTGAAGGTGGGGAGTCAAAGCGGTAACTCTGAACGTCTGACCTTCTGATTGACTGAGCTACAGGAGCGGGAGCGATATGAGCTCTGCCATCAAGGCTGCAGGGATTCAAAACCTGCAGCCTTCTCACCTGACTGAGGCTTCAAAATGAGACAGGAACAGAAAGAACCTTGTCCCCATCCTCCTGTCTGGATCACACATCCTTTTCACAGCTGATCGGACAGCAACGTGGGATGATTTTAACCAAACAGAAAGTCGATCATTAACAACCCACACACATGAAACCACACACAACAGAGGATAGAAGGTTTCTACATATCCTGGAAAAGGCGTGTTTTTTTTTTTTTTATGTAGTCATGGATGTCTGGTAATGGTGAAGTCCTGGAAAATTACAGAACTTCTCCTAAAGCAATAAATGGTCCTGGGGAGGGGAATCAGGGTGCAGTGTTTTGTTACCATTTGTGAATTTTGTGCTTCAGATAAGAGCAATTAAAATGTCAAAGTTAAAGAAAAATATTTGCAATAATCAACTTGTACATGAGAAAACTCCTGGACCTCATCCTTTACCTGGTTTAAATGTTTTATATAAACATGACAAAGATACACCAGCGTCTTTGTTAATACACAAAGATAAATGAGAAGGTCTGGACTCAGAAGAACCCCACTCAGGTCCAGTTTGGTTCCTCCCTCTTTAGCTCTGTCTCAAACCGTCTCCTTTGAAATATGAAGCTCTTCTTCCTCCTGCTGGAGGAATCGACCAGCAAAAACCTGATGTCATATCAGCACCAGACTGTGATGCCACAGGTGTCCGCCCTTAGATGTGTCTGTGCTCGATGTCCATGTCATTCCAAACATACAGCATTTCAAGGCACACCAAAAAAATGCAGTGTGAAACAATAGAGATTAAAAAAAAAAGGCTGATGTTACTCAAAATGTTTCTTGTTGTCAACAAATCTCATGAAAGGTCCAGAATATGTTTGTCTCCAAGCCCTATGCCACATCAAGCCCCACAAGGCTTCCTATCCGGCCCCCCAAAATATAAATCATTGTGGGTGATTAAACAATAAACATAAAAATAAAACCACGAGGCTGAAATACCTTCATTAGGTTAATGGGAGAAATCACATTTCCCCTCTGACATCAACTTCTGAACATCAGGCTTGACAGCTGTCAGGCTTATGTCTCAACATATTTTAACCTTTGATTAATTAGTAAGTTAATTAATCTGGAGACAAAATGTGTGATTGTCTCCTTTAGTGATGTCATTGTGTTTCAAAGTTTTTAGTACAGAGAGAAGAAAGATATAAAAACATATTAACATGATGACTATGGTCAGAACTAAAAGTAATACTGAATGAGTCCTGCCACTGGTTTTGAATCTTCTTATTTATAAAACTTACAAACCTGAAAAATTGGGCGAAAAGACTAAATCAGCTTTGAAACCTACAGTTAGTAACGTGATTAATTGATGGCAATTAACCTCCAAAACATACTGAAATATGGCGAGGACATTATCTAAGTGTCCCAAGTTCCTGCCAAGGTAATAAAAATATTATGGTGGACATTTTTTTTTATTCTCTTGCAGCCAAAGTTTTAGATTTATGCAATAAAAAAATCCAGTGAAGGTCAGTTTTAAACAGGTCAGCATCTTTTGACAAAACTCAGCCAAAAAAACCCAAATAACCTTCATCAAAAAGTCACATTCATTACCTTAACTTGCTGTATGTTTGGAACCTGAGTTTGAATTTGTGTACGATGAACTTTATCTCCTTTCATCTGATGTCTACAGTTCTAATGATGTCTGTTGTTGCCATCTTCACTGCCAGTGAGTAACAGAACTAATCCGCACCCTGGACCGGGCTACTTGCTGGTTTTACAGCAGCGGGGGGGGGGGGAAGCCCTTTTGTTCTGATTGTTGCCTGGTGTGGACTCTCAGCCGGCTGTTTGTGTTTCTGTCAACCTTCCTGCTGAATCTGAACTGAACTTCATGAACTTAACTCTTACTGTACCTGACACTCTGATCACAAGAGTCAAAGGAACTTTATAAGACTTGAACACATCACTGGATGTTTCACAACCTGCAACAGCAAAAGAACGTCTTCCTGGGGGGGGGGAAGCTTTTCATTGAGGAAAAGAAAGAAAAAAACATGTGTCTGGTTGTTTTTTCAGTGCCCAAATAATTGGTTTTACAGTGGATGTTGTAAATATTTACCCAAAGCTTTTTAACGACTTTTAGACAACCATCTGATCTACTTTTAGAAACTTTGGTCCAGAAAAAGAGTTCCCAGATGAGGTCCAATAAGCTTTCCTCTAGTGCCCCCTTCAGGATCACATCATATTTGTTTCAGGTGGTTGTTTAATAATCGTGAAAGGAGGTTTCACAGAACCAGAAGAAACCATAGAAGGATTTCCAAAAGCTCAAAGGGAAGTGTTAAAGCTGATTTTTAAGAATTCTTGTTCACACATATCCCCAAGTTTTTTTGTACCTGAACGTCTACCAGCAATGCAAGAAATCTCCTGATTGGAGTTTCACCTGAGAGTCACCTGCTCTGCTCTGTGAGCAGTTCATTGAAAGGCATGTGAAGCTGTGTGTTGAGTCTCATTGGCTGGAGTCAGTACGTCTCTGCAGCTCAACAAGTGACTCTGGCAGACAAACAGAGAGCTGTTAAATGCTGGTCAGGCCCTTAAGTTATTCACATGACTTTACTCTCTCAGTCTCTGTCACGTAGGTCGATCTGTACATGGAGGTGCGACCACGTCTCCCAAAACAACGGTAATGTACTGTAAGATGTTTTAAAATCATGGGCTATCAAGTAGTAATGTGTGCGTGAATGTTATCTTCACATTTTTCTTTAAAATCAAAAACAAATGCCTCTGTATTCCCCCCCCCCCCAAAAAAAAAATATTTTTGAAGACTCTAAATACAGAGGTTAGGGTTGATGTTTCTCTCTGTTGTTCTCCCAACAAATCCTACAGCAGCCAAGTTCACTCCGAATTTTCTCCCCTTTTGGGAAAAAATGGGATTGGTTGGTCAAACAGTCTGCTTTGTCGCTTCCCTCTATGCAACAAAAACAACAACAAAAAACTGTCATATAAAACAGGAAAAATACGAATAACTGCATGCATAGTTCAGCAGGGATACAAACTTGTCAATGTTAGTCTAGACTCAATGAAAAAGGCATTTCTAACACTTCAACACTCCACCATCAGACCCCTTTAGACACACAGAGAGTATTACATCACAATGTTATTAGAGCCGGCGTGGACAAGAGGAGCAATTAAAGCCGCCAACACCACTTTAAATCAACACATGTGCATGTAAAGGTTTTATCCTGAAAGATCTGACAAAATGCTAACCTCTCCTTCAACAGGGAAAGTCCTGATGCTAAAAAAAAAAAAAAAAAAAAAGGTTATTTCTATGGTTTCAAATGGTCAGTATTCTCTCGTCTGTCTTCCTGCCTCCTCCTGGATAACTTGAAGCATCTCAGTCTTCCGATAATGAACAGATTAAGGACATTTGTGTGTGTGTGTGTGTGTGTATGTGTGTGTTTATCTATGCAGTATTTGGTCTCACGGTGCAGTCACTCTTATCTTTGTCATCTGGATGCAACTGTTTAAAAAAGAAAAAAAAAAGAAGACAAAGTGTCAAATCCATGTTGATGATGTGTGAAGCCGCTTTTCGAAGCTCTGAGCCGTTCAACTAAACTTCCTCCTCCGTCTATTGATGTCAACTTGATGCAATAATGTACAGATCAGCTGCTGCTTTGCTATACACTCTGCTTTCTTATCAGCAATACCGAGGCCTGAGAGGTCTCAATGCAAAGTCCTAAAGTCGTTGTTACTGGGGCCGAGCCGCAATACGAGAAAAAAAATCACACGCATTGTTTGTAGATGAAATGATGTTGACTGACCAGTTCTCTTCTGTTGTAATGGTTTCTGTTCAAATTGAGATTGTGCGCACATGTATGTTGTCTCTTACACCTCGGGCCCGTTGAAGAAAGAAGGTTCAACCAACTCTCAGTCTAACCCTGAGCTCTGAGTTGATTTACCCTCAGGTGGTAGACTCAGAGTTTTGGGTTCCAGATCAGCTGATTCATAGTAACAGACTAAGAGCTTAAGTTACCTCCCTCTCTGGAACGGGCTTGAGTTACCCCTCTTTCTCGGGTTTGAGTGACCTCCCTTTCTGAAACGGAAAACCCAGACTTTCCCTGAATTCAGGGTTAACAGACTCAGTGTTTGCACTAAACCTGCTTACTGAAACGGGCCCCTGATTGATTCGCTTTGCATCCAAATACAATCTTGTCTTCCCTCAACCCAGAGGACGTCCAAACAGTGAATAATATCAGAGTTTAAAGGAGCAGTTCAACCACTTTTCTAGAGCCTCGTCCTTAACCGGACAATAGTTGTTTTCAGCAATTGACACAAAACACAATTTGATGTAGAGAGCATTATATGTGATTGTCCTCAAGAGGTAAATTTGTCTTGGGCAGAGAAAACACACAGCTCAGAGCAACTTACACGAACAAGCATAACACAAGAAATTACAACAATAAAAGACACAGTAAGTATGCAGCCGCTTCGAGAGCCAGGGTTGTTTGTTGAGGTATTTGCAAGAAATGTATATTTCAAACTTTTCAAACTTGAACTGAAGCAAAAAAAAACAAAAAACAACAGTTTTATTTATTTTTTTCATCAAAAGTATTTAAAGGATGAATTCAGATTTTGAATATCCAAATATAGTTACACGTTAGTTTCAGATTTCTGAGCAGAAAGGCAAGCATGTTCAGGTTCAATCGAATCAATCCAGACTCAGAGATTTATGTGAATGTGAGTTTCTTGAATTGAATCATCAACCTGTTGGTCAGACAGTCTATGGTTTTGAAAAAGAGGCATATTTCAGCTCTGAAGAGCGGCGTAACGTCTACTTCAGACGTGTTAAAGAGTGACTCGTCTTTATGTACAGTATTTATTCTTTGAGCCTTTTTATGATAATGATGATGCAAATATGCAAATGAAAACTTGTCAGGGTGAGGTCGTGTACGATTTCTCTCCTTATCATTTTATTTCTGTAACTTTGTTTTGTTTTCAATAAAAAATAAAAAGCTGAACGTCACAAATAATGGTCCTGCATTTTTTGTTTCAATGAAGAGAAAAGCGGATTGGACATCGTTATATGTCAGTCATGGGCTTTAACCTGAGTCCTTTTGTACTGTAAGTTAGCACTGACCGTTTGTTGGATTCATAGTAATTTACTGTAAAGGGGACATATTATGAAGAATCCACTTTGACAGTGTTTTTGAACATATATTTGAGTAACCTGAGAGTCTACCGACCCACAAAATGTGAAACAAACCCATCCAGTGCTTTGTTTGTGGTCTGCATAAGTGTTACAACACAGAGAAAAATGCTCTTTAAAAGGTGGGAAGGGGGTTGTAGTAAAGATCCCTATTTGTTTTCCTTTCACTTCCTCTCTCTACTGCACCTCACCTTTATGGGATTGTCCTCAGATGGTCCCCCTCTCGGTCTCATAGACATGTTCCATTCAGGACTGCTTGGTAAAAAAAATGTATACCATTAAGAAACATTATACGTTCCTGAACATGGGAAACTGAGATCTTTTAATGTGAAACGCTCTCATGACTCTGAAGACTCCACTAGAGGGCATTATGCTTACATCAAATTAAAGGAATCTGTTGACCCATTAGCTGTATCAAAATGAAAACACTTACCCTTAAGCTGGTGCTAATATCAAAGAAAAAACGGGACATTTAAACAGCTACTTGTGAACATGCAACCAGCTACAGAATCTAAACCTCCTAACCCTTTCCTCCTCAACAGAATAATAATCTTCCTGACTTACTCATGTCCACACTGTTGCTTTTTCTGTGCAGTGACTAAGTGTAAAAATGCTGCACTTCAACCTTGAAAGAGTAACATAGTGAGTGTTTTTCGGAACCAGCTCGCTCTCATCCTCCTCCTTTTTCGAGCAATTCAATTCTTCAAACTGTGTTTTTATAAGAATCTTTTTTTTTTTATGACAGAGACAACAAAAGGTCTCTACAGTATTTACTTTTGTTTTACCAGCAGCTGTCCTTACACAGGTCTTACAGGGGAAGAAAAACACAGAGTCTGTTTTACCAGAACAAACCGTTCTGACGGAGGTCATAACGACAGACAAAAGGGACGGAGAAATCTGGACTGGACTGGAAGTTTTTACAGGTTTGATCATTTACTGCCAACCTGCTCTGTGGCAATAAATGATCCGGCCAGTTAAAAGGTGACAAGACATTTACAGTACAGTCAAGTATCATCCAGTTACGGCCTATCAACCCTTGGACACATGCAGCCATGCAGAATAATCGACTCTGTGAGGTGTTTACATGCAAGAAAGAAAACATGTTACAGTGAGAAATCAGTTTGAGGCAGCAGATTGGGGAACACCATGATGATTATGGTGTTATTTAGATCCCCATTCAAAATCAACTCAATTTCTGAATTATATTGATATTGAAAACCTTATCAGCATCTGAAATGATAAGACCTTGAAGCAAGGTCAAACACATTTTACAATCCATTTTTTGAGCACAAGTCTTTGTCGGAAAAACTTGAAAGGAAAATGTGAAGAACTTTATCCAAGTAGTCTGCCCATTAGAAATATTGATCCCCTTAAAACCCTGTAAAATTGTATTTTAAAATCCATTAGCACTTTGGGAATAAATCTTGTAAAACAGAAAGCAACTCATGATAACTGTGATATTTTAATTATAAATTCATATTTCATCAATGTGAAGATTAGGTAATAAAAAATAACTTTTTTTAAACCCTTAAATAACAATAATCAAGAACTGCTCAATGTCATCAAATCTTTGTACAGACTCTTCTCTCTGTTATTGTCTTTCCAGGAAGTTTGTCACCCAGTTAGTTGTGTTTTATGTGTTGCTTTGTTTTGGAAATGATATGAAGGCACAAAGAAGATATGCAGGTGGGTATTTTGGGCTGTTGGAGGTAGCATGGAGGAGGTTTGGCTCTAGGACACCAGAGCTAACTGCTGAGCCTTCCTGACGTGTGGGGGGGACTAACTTGTCGAAACGCATGTGAAAGGAGGGGCCCACTTTCATGATGTGTGGGCCCTTGATGTCCATGTGGTTGTTTAGTGGGGTCATGGTGGGGTATGCAACTCATTTATTTCTGGACATCATTTATATTGTTACAATATCTTGAACACTTTTGTTCTTGAGATGTGATTTGAATTAATTTCACATCATAATAATATTCCAAAATGTGTCCTGCATGCGTTACCAAACAGTTTCACACAAAACATTTAACCTAAAAAAAAACCCAAAACAAATATCGCAACATTTCTAACATCAGATATTATAAATAATGGCTGCAGATCGATCAGGCAACTCACTCAGCTTTACTTTCACTGACACAAAAACTGAGGGAACCAGCGACAGCCCAAACTGTGCATTTAAAAGTTTAACAAACTGAAATATCGTGTTTGACCTGTAGTTTTTGAGCCGATACGTGCAGTATCTGATTCCAAACACGAAAACATTCTGTATTAAAGTTAGTAAAAACAACAACAGGATCTTTGAGTTTATTCATTCCAAACGACCTCTACTGTGACCTTAAGGAAAGATGTTGTTATTCCTCTCTCGTAATCCACATGTACAGCTAAGTGGCGTCCACATGTATGATTTTCTTTACAAAACTGTAAGAATGATATAAAAATGTATTTATTTCACTGGAGCAGTATCCTCCTGCATGTTCATGTATGATGTTCTGCTGAAGAGGAAATATTTCACGATCATACTCCGCATGTGTGCAGCTGGAAACCTTTAATGTTCTTTAAGAGATGCCAGTAAACGCTCAGGTATTTAAATGTTGTTTGTGTTTTTTGTGTTTGAACATTAAAGGTGCACTATGGAGATCTGGTAGTGAAATTTGAAAGATGGAGAAGTGAAACAATTCTATGCTATATTTTCTGAACTAAATGCACAAACTTTATTCACAGGACAAATTGTGTCCACTGTTTCGGGCCCACCACCATAACTTCCTCGCGTATAATTTTAATCGTCAGGGACAACATTTTCCTCTGAGGACGGTTTGTGTATGGAGATACATTTCTCCAACTTTCACATTTCTCTACCAAGACTCCATAGTGCACCTTTAATTGTGAATTCAACAATTTTGAAGATTATCATCTGATATATCTGTATCAAGCTAATGTTGACACCGATATGAAGTGTAAGAGTTTTTTCATGAAAATGTCATCATATTTTTCTTTTTGACATATGCCAGCATCTCATCTATAACCTTTTTTTTTTTTAACATTGTATGTAAATCCCCCCCCCCCCGCCCCTTTATCGGATATGATTTTTTTTTCATTTATTCCCAAAAATCCTCACATTTCCCCTTTGAAAGGGACACAGTGTTTCTTCCCACTCTACATTTTCTCACTCTCTATTTCTGATTTGAAGTTTCCCAGCATGGGGAGTTGAGACAAGAAGTTTCAAAATTATGAGAAGGGGAGGTTGAGAGGGGGGAGGAGGAGGAGGAGGAGGAGGAGAGGTGGAGTTGTTTAGTCTTTTCTAGGATAAAGGAGGTGAAGCCCCAGAGAGATCCTGCACAGAGAGGCTAACAATGCTGCAACAGGAATATTCATATTTTGTATTAAGACGAAGGAAAGATTAGGACTTCTTGTGTTATGTGCAGTTGGAATTGTTTTTTGGTTCCTTTTCCCATATAGTGGTATAACTGGGCTTGATATGTAAATGGACTTCTAAAAGTGTTCAATTGGATATTTTTGTGTGTTTTGCACCTTAAAGCTGACTAATAGCACTTAAATTACAATTTTGACAATAGGTGTAAAGTAAAGAAACAAACAGTCACAACAGAAAACAATAGATCAGAAGAAGAGTCCACAAAAATGCAGAACTACGAGGAGTCGGTGTCTTTTTTGGGGACATGGGGCCGGTTCCAGCGGAGGGTCTTCCTCCTGTTCTGTCTCACCTCCATCCCCAGTGGATACAACATCCTGTGTGTCATGTTCCTCCTGGCGAGTCCCCCGCATCACTGCCACATCCCTGTCCACAGCAACCTGAGCCAGGACTGGATCCAGGCCATCATCCCAGTGCAGGTCAGAACCGGTTCTGAAACGGATCACAGCTTTCTTCATGCCAAATGATTCGAAATGTTTATCAATGAAGTGGAAAAAGTCAATGAACCAATCCAAAACTTTTACTGTAGTGAAGGTGAATGTGACTTTTTCGGTTACATTTATTAAACAACAAGCATTGTTAAAAAGTGTCGTCTGATGAAATGTTTCTATGTATGCAGGAAGACATTATTTGCCTCTGCCTTCAAAATCTGTTAGCAATCATCATTGAAGAAGGGGAAAAGTCACTGATTGAAATTCAAACCCCGCCCTCCTGGGAATGTCTCTCATTGATGCTCCTTTGAGGAACTTTGTGATGATTATGACAACCGCTGTGGACAAAGTGAAACCTCTCATCTCTTTGCTAATGTTGTCCTGTTCATGTGTTCTCTTAGTTCTTTGCAACAGTTTCAGCAGCGTACAGTTTCATCACTCCCTCATACACAATATGCATAGAGGCGTTTCAGGCAGTACAATAACTACACAGAGATAGTTAGTGTCTATGCTGACGCCCTTGCATAGGCATCAATATTCATTACAGTGTGTTTCATAACCACTCTAGTCATAGACACACTCATCGCATCAATCTCAAATATCTCAGGTTTGTTTTTTCTCATTGCAATAAGCAGCGACTGCAGCTGTGTGTGCTGACCCTCATGTTTTTAGGACTTCAAGCAGTGTCCTCACTGAAACTCAATTCTTTGGATTTGCCCTTATATGTGTGTGTTTTTTAGTTTCTGTTTAAGTTTCTGTGTTTAGATTTGAGATATAACTCAGCAGAGGGCAGAGAAAGTAGCTTCTGCCTCTCACTCTCAGTGGCAGCACAACATCTGCGTGTTGACGGCACTACTTGTGATTTTTCCCAGGAGTGTTGACTCATTTTCATGATACTAACGTTTCCATCATGTGCAAGAGTATTTTATCAGTTTGTCACAGGCTCAATCGCTGTGTATGCAATCATTTTGAAACACAGTTAAAGAGTTAAGAGGTATTTATTTAAATGGAAATCTTCAGAGCTTCAAAGTGGCTGTAAACGACTTCTTACGTTCATAATGCAGCACATGACTAGTTGTCTTTAAAAGAGGCTGCAGGGGATGAACCCAACGTTGCATTTCCTCGAAGCTCTGCAGAGTATTTTTGCATCTCTTTCATCATTGTTTGGTTATTTTCTTTTGTCATAACAAGGCTGTCTTTGTGCACATTCATGCACGTGGTGCTGCTGTCTTTCAAATGATCTTTTGACTCTGATGGTGAGAAATGAGGCCGCATGTTAAAGCTGCTCTTTAAATCCTCCAACAAAAACGACCTGACGTGTTTTTGTCAGTATGATGAGCTGAATATTTGTTGCGTTTACACACACTTAATGGTTTGCACTTTGAGGCAAAATGGAGAGAAAACAAGCGCTTTTTTATGTTTGATATTTAATTTTAATGACAGTTGTAATATTGTTATGTTATGCTCCTGAATGGTTACAGTGTTTTATTGTCATATAAGATCATTTAATATAAGTAATAATAGAAAAACATGTAAGAGGAATTTTAGTGTTGCTCTTGTTTTAGGGTAAGTCTATACAAACTTCTACAACTAACTTATTAATTAAACTACACAATTCAAACTACTGTGTATATTACTTTAATGTTTAAATCTTTACAAAGTTTTAATATTTTAAATATTGATCATGTTTTTGATGCAAAATATTTGGCAAGTAAGTTAATAAGAATGTTTTTATTTTAGCTTCTCTTTCCAAGCTAAGTAGTGATGATTCCCAAATTTTGGAAATGCAGTCAGCCAATGATTAAGCTAGCGACCTGATCCTCCCGCAGGTTAGAACTGGTCTAGTTTCAACTCAGTCCACCTCCCTTTGCTGTTGTTGCATCACAAGTTAGAAAATAACAACTTTTAATCACAATGTTTCCTGGTCAGATGGAGGCCGGGCAGCCGGAGCGGAGCAGCTGCAGCCGGTATGAGCTGGACGTGGTGCAGAACCTGTCTGCATGGGGATTCACACCCAGCCTGGGTCCAGCCCACAACCTGTCTGTACTGGGATCCGGTCCAGGGGTCCTCCTCTCAGGCCTTAAACAGGAGAGCTGTAAAGATGGGTGGACCTACAGCACTGAGTACTATGAGTCCACAGTGGTCACCGAGGTACTGAGCTACTATTGTTGCTACTACAGTTGCTATGGAAACATTTAAATTGTTTCTATTGGTGACCCTCCTCCCCTGTTTACTCTATGTTACTGTTTATACACTGATCTGGTCAGAACAGCTCCTGCCTGTGAAACATTGAGAGGTTATGACATCATAGTGGTCACCAATCATTGACTGCAGGAAGTTACCTTCAGAAACTGAAGACCAGGCTGGTATCGACTGCTTAAGGCATCCATCTTTGAGCTCATATGAGTTTGAGTATGGAAGGGTAGCCTACTTAGAGAAAGACTATCTCCACAATGGCCAAGGCCTGTTTTTAGTCCTGCTTTAATAATACACAAGATTGTTTTATATTTCTGTGTCCGGTGACCCTAAGAGCCTATGCACAACACAGTTTATTTCTATACATTTTCCTATGATTACAAGTCAATTCTAGTTGTTTTCTCTAGCTCTCAACTTTTTTACCTCTTTGTATCAGGACTTTGGTTTTCCTGTGATAATGACTTAATATCCTGAGATCTCAGAAAATGGCTGAAACTAACTTCTTATCACAGCGTTGTTATTCAAAGACAAGTAGAAAAATAAGTCAAGATCTTGGCAAATCAACCAAAATGTACTTTTCACCACAGGTTAGACCAGAGTTGAATAAAATGTATTAATGCATGTCGGCCAAGGGCTTCTGCAGCTGTGCTAAAATATGTTGTCTATATATCCCTTTTGTTACAGTTTAATCTGGTGTGCGGTGACCAGTGGAAACAGCCTCTGACCTCTCTTGCATACTTCCTTGGAGGACTGTGTGGATGCTTAGTCTCTGGACAGATCTCTGACCGGTATGTTTCAGTGTCATTTTAAACTGTTTACCTTTTGCAGTTCCTCACAGCTGCTCCAAAGTTATCAGAATGCTGGAAGTTAACTTTAAACTAAGCTGGCATTGACCACAGAGGCGAGGGTCTCCATAGCATAACTATGTACATAATGTTTTAAAAGTTATCCACCATTAACATCCAAAAAAGAAAAAAGCTTTGTGGTTTGCTTGAATACCGCCATTGTAGTCACAGACAGGACCTCATTGTCTCTCATCTTTGACACCAATATAAGAGAGGACCAGATATGTTCCTGTTTTGGCTGACATTACTCTGTTGTATTTTTACCTCAGGGTTGGCAGGAAGCCTGTACTCTTCAGTGCCATTGCCATGCTTAGTGTCTTCAGCAGTGCAGTGGCCTTCGCTCCATCCTGGCCTGTCTTCACCTTGCTCTTTTTCATGATGGGTGTGGGTCAGATCGCCAGCTACATAGCTTTGTTTGTACTTGGTATGGGTTTCTCATTTCTGTCGTACTTTGATTGAATGTTGTTCTGTCGTTGATGTCAATGGACACTTTTTAGGGGACCGATAAGATCATGTCTTCTTTAAAGCTCCTGTGAGGAGATTTAGCTAGTCATGAACTCAACTGAAATGAATACTAATGTCTGTGTACGACCTTAAAAAAGCAAACAAGACCATTAGCTACAAGATTGATTATTTCTGCATTTTAATTTTATTGCCTAAAACCGCCTGAAAGTGATGAATACACTCTGTCCGAACAGCCTTTAAAAAATATATTTTTATAGCAAAGCTTGTCAAAGTCGACATTTAACTGTTGAAGAAAGCAGGATGAGCTTTTCTGCTTTGTGCACAGGGGACGCCAACAACGTCAACACAAACTAAGGTTTCTTACAGCAGCTTTAGGAAGGACATATTAAAAATGACATTTCCTGTTGCAGCCCTCTGTTTCAAAATAGACTGTGCAGTAAACCACCAGAAAATATTTCTTAGCATTATTGAGAGACTGTCCTTTTCAAAAATACATACCTTCTTTGACTTGTCTGATCTGCTGCTTTAACCTTAGAAATCACTGTTATTTTACATTAGTGAAGAAAGAAGAAAGTCACCTAGTACCTCTTTATGTCATTTCTTGACTTCTTTTTAAGCACTATACTCTTTATTTTGTTTTCAGGTTCAGAGATCCTGGTTGGTTCAACGAGAGTCCTCTTCTCAGGCCTAGGCTTGCCTGCGGTCTATGTGTTAGGTATGATGTTGCTGCCCGGCACCGCCTACCTGGTCACAAACTGGAGACACTTGTCCCTGATCATGACTGTGCCAGGCCTGGCCTGTATGCCTTTGTGGTGGTAAGAGGATCCCCGCACAACATTTAGAAATATCAGGTGCTTCGGGTTTGCAGGGGACATATTTAGAAATGAAGGAAAGGATTAAAAACGTCACAGTTCAGTTGATGAATTGCTTAAATCTAGAATAATATTTTGTTCCAGTCGGCTTATTTTTTATTTTTGTCTACTACTAACAAAACATTTCTGAAGGCCCTGTTTGCAAAGAAAGAGAATGTGTGAATAGACAGACCGTCCTTCATTATAATGGGACATTATTTAAGGTCATTGTATGCAGTGACCTTATCATCATCATCATTTAAGGTCGTGTATGCAGCAACACATTGCAACATCATCTTCATATTCACAGAAGCTACATTACAAAGAGCAGAGGTCTTTACTGGTCTAAATAGACTGGTCAGAAACATTAACTATATATAAAAATGGATATCCTCCTGTGGTACACAAATGAAACCAAAATACCTCTTGCACTGGGCTATGACATGGTGACTTAACTTAGAGAGTATTGCACAGCCCCCCTTTATAGTGTGACCCATTTCCCATCTGTTAACTTTAAGGAGGCAGAGCTTATGAGCTGTACTACAGCCGGTCAGTAGAGGGAGCTCCAAATGTTTTGGCCTCACTTTGTTGTGGGGAGCTGTCACATCATCTATCTTTTTATACAGTCAATGGTCAGAACTCCTATGGATCATATGTCTAGGTAGTACCACAAAGTAAATAACCGTTCCCCTTGTTTCAATTAAAGCCTTTTTACGTATAGTTCATATCTGATACAGCAGCACGACTGGTCTTCAGCCTTGCTAAAAGAGCACATGTCACTCCGCTGTTCATCTCCTTACTGTTAGCATCAAATTTAAAACTCTGCTGCTCGCTTACAAAACAGCGACAAAAACGACTCCGACTCCATTCGATCTGAAGAGTCCCTCTGCACCTTTAAGAAAAAGCTAAAGACCCAGCTCTTTCATGAATACCTACTAACTTAATGATGATGGTCTCCATATCCATTGATGATGATGATGGTTGTGACGATGGTTTTTGTTTGATAACGATGACTTATAAGATGGTTTCTATACTGATTAGAGCTCTCAAGAACTGCCGTCAATGTTGTGCTTTGCCTCTGGTCACTTCCTGTCAGCACCTGTGTGTCCAATCGGACTCAAAGCTGATCGTTTGCTCTTACTGACATTGTTCCCTTTTTTCTAGATCCTTGCTTGTGTTGTACTTACTCTCTGATGTACGTCGCTTTGGATAAAAGCGTCTGCTAAGTGAATTGTAGAATTGATACATGTTTGTGTTTGTCTGTCTGTCCAGGCTGATTCCAGAGTCTCCTCGCTGGTTGATGTCTTGTGGCCGTTTTCAGGAAGCAGAACTCCTGCTAAAGTCAGCCGCTCTGGAGAACCGAGTAGAAGCTCCACAGGTCATCTTCCTCTCAGCCAAGGTGAAAATAAAACCCTCTCACCTCAAAAGTTGTCCAAACACTAAAAACAATAGTGAGAGTACTTTAAGTTCTGTCTCTCCACAGGTCGAAAAGGAAGAAAGCCAGGAGACAGAGTCGTTAAGTTTCCTGGACCTGCTGAGGACCAGCAACATCCGAAATGTAACATTCAAGCTGTGGCTGATCTGGTGAGTGCTCTGTGATCAAATGGATGTTAATGATTCAAAGGGCCATCAACCAACATATCTAGATTTAAAAAAAAACATATTTGATCAGCTTAAAACAAAACACAGCTAACATTAGCATTCAGCCGCTTGCTAGCAAATGTCTAAACTCTAAAGCGTATGCTAGTTCTTAAACACTATTATTTTACACATTTATTAGCCTGAGGTGAAAGTCACTGGATGTATTTCAAGCTAACAACATAGCGTTAGCTGTGTAGCTCTCCCTTCAAGCTCCACTGCTATTTTCATGTTACAGGATCATGGATAAAAGCATTAGTGAAACAATAATGTTAAATACGATGTTTACAGTACGCTACTGGAACATTTCCGCCGTGGGTATGTGGTCTGTAGCAAGGCTAATTAGTCAACCCATCGATCTAACAGATTCACTGAGGATATTAATGGTTCTGAGGACATTAAGGTAAAAGCGTTTTTCTTTTGTTGTTTTGCAGGTTTTCTTTGAGCGTAAGCTACTTCGGACTCTCATTCAACCTGTCCAGTCTCTATGGCAACCCGTTCCTGAACTACTTCCTGTTGTCAGCTGTTGAGCTTCCAGCGTACCTCGTCAGCTGTGTGGCAGCTTGTAGTCTACCTCGCCGCCTGTCCTGTATCAGCTTCACCCTGCTGGGGGCGCTGGCTCTGCTCCTCATTCAGATCACTCTGCACAGTGAGGAAGACCACAAAGTGGCTGTATAGTCAAAAACTGCTTTTCTTTTTTAACATCTTGATGGATATACAGAAATTAAATTATGTAAGATATTCAACTAATGGACCATTTTCATAGCAGCTGATGGTTCACCTACCCTCACCCCCCTTAGTTACTGTTGCTATGGCTCTGAAGGCCATTTGTTCTACCACAGAAACATGAAGGTCAATGCTAACATTTGCAGCCATAGCTTTCAGCCTTTTAGAGTTCATTGTAGTTTTTTTTTTAAACAAATGTTCTTGGCTTCAGGTGAAGGTAGACCTCAATCCTTTCTTAAAACATTTGCTAAGTTGATGTTTAAGAATTTTAAATCCAGCTTTATTTACATCCATGTTATCTAGCTTACAGATCGCTTCCTTTTTAGCACTGATGCGTGTCATATTCTGTTACTACCACCTGTAGATTAGTGAAATATTGTTCAACTATGGGGGGAAATATGTTTGAATTATGGCATGTTGTCATGTGCATCCCTGCATGGGATGTATATCGAGAGGATAAACATAACTGGGACCCACTTATGGAAAAACTGGATATTGCTACTAGAGATCAAAAACCAAGGAACCAATAAATGTCCTCTGAAATGAATGCTTCTTGATTTCTGAATATTTAGCCTCTCCCATTCAGTGAACAGTCGATAACAATGTACACGATACAGCATATCTGTGTGAAATGCTTCGTTAGCCCTGAACACTAGCTTACAACCCTCCTCCTCTTCACAGGTTATGCAAATCTCACCCTGACTCTCGTGCTGATCGGTAAATTTGGCATTCTCGCCGGCACGGGGGTGTTGTACATGTTCACTGGGGAGCTGTTTCCCACAGTCATCAGGAACACAGCAATGTCGTCCTGTGCTATGTTCTCCAGAGTGGGGTCTTCTGTTTCTCCCTACCTGCTGCAGCTGGGTGAGAACTCCAGCTTTTTACATTAAACAGCAGAGAGTCAGTGTATCATATGTAAATATGTTTTTATGACTTTTATGGGATTCGAGGAATCTAAATATTTGTATGATTGATTAAATGTATTTAATTTACATGTCACAGAGTGCCCAACCTGTATGGATTTACAAGACACCAGAAATATAGTTGCATTGTTGGAACAATTCATTGCAAAACATTACAAAGTTTCAAGATCCTTTTGCAGCTCTGTCTTGAAAAATGTGTTCTGAAATTTCGACTTTGCAAAAAAAAAATCCACTACAAAAAAAAACACTTCTAAAGCATCCAGCATTTTAATTATCATCCAAACAGAGAAAAATGAAGATCAATGGAGGACATATTATAAAAATGGCATTCCTTTTGTCGTCATAGATGGGACAATAAAGCAAAAAATGAATCTTATTCTTAATGGCACTGAAAGGTTATCTTCCTGAACTCATCTGTGTGCAGAGTGATCTTTGTATTTTGATTAACAAAGGGTTGTACTCTTGAACTAATCTTTACGAGACAGTAGGTCTGTAGTTTTGTTTGACAGCATATATCAACAGACCATATTTCTCTGTACAGAAGAAACATGTTCCTCCTAATCTCCTGAATGTGGTTGTTGTTGTTGTAGCAGTAGCTATGACAGCAGACTAGAGCTGCTCTTTCGATTTGTTCAGCTGATGTTCATTTCAAAGTTGGCAGTCCTGTGTTGAACCTCACAAACTAGATTGTTTTTGTTTGATCTGATCTGATTTTGCAATCATTAGATCAGAAATTTTAAAAGTTGAGTTGTTATTTTGGAGGAAGTAATCCTTTCAATGCTTATTTAAGTTTGTGTCTAAACCAATCTTGAAGGTATGAACTCACGGATCTGGTCTGGTTTTTGTCTCCAGCTGTGTTCTATCAGTTCCTGCCGTGGATCATTGTGGGTTCTCTGTCGCTGCTCAGTGTCCTGCTCTGCTTCTTCCTGCCTGAGACCTTCAGGCAGCCGCTGACCGACACCATTGAGCAGATGCCGACAACACAGCAGTCGGTTTGCAGGTCAGTCAGCTTGGACGTGTTACCTCTTGGTGTCCCTTGTGAAGCCAATGGTATACAGTTTCATTTCAGTTTCTCGAGGCCAGCAGCAGGGAACTAAAAAGCTTTATTGGTCAGTTTTCAGACCCCTCCTACTTAACTTGATTAACTACAGCACCAACAAATGATGGAATAGAGCTAAACATAATTATGAGCAGCTGAGTCTGACAGATCTGGGGCTAAGGGATTTGTGCTAATAAACAACAAACAAACAAAACAGTAAACTGCATAAACAACATAAAACAAGACTGTAAAGTTCAGTACATATGGCTTTCTTTTTAAATGTTTATGGAATGTAAAGATTGTTTGAGTGTTAATACCGTACATGCTGTAATTATGCATGATGGTACTATTAGTATAATATTATGGTACCATTAAGAGTGGACTAGTCAGGACGAGTCTTTACCACAGTGGCCTCCCAATCAGGAAAGAGGTGAAGCAAATGTCTATCTACTGTCTCCTCCAAATAAAGCTCTTCTGTCTCAAATTTAAAAAAAAAGGTTGCTGTTGCCTAAAAAGCTAAACTCAAGCTTTTAATGTATGCATGTAATATTTTCTGGAAAGATGGAGAATTTGATTACAACACAACAACATGCAGGCCTGTTTCTGTTTCACGCTGTCAATAGCTCATGTTGAGGTGTTGCAGGCTGAAAAAAACGAATAAAGTAGAAACAGCCACATCTGAAACACTTCATTAATGTCAAAACAACATAGACATGAAGTTGACAAAGAACAGACACACAAAAAAAGACAAATAAAATATACATGTTTAAAATATGCATGAAAGGAAAATATGCCACTTTAAATCATTGCAATCATCATAACAAACAAAGTAGTTATGTTGTAAGACTTGATGAAAAAGTTTGAATGCAGCCTGAATAATGCAGCATCTCTTCTCTTCAATTGTCTTTCATGTTCAGTTGGCCATGGGCTTCAACAGCGCCCTCAAAGGATGATGGGAAATCAACTAAAGACCAGACTACTGCACCTGAGATCATCTGCACAACTCGCCTATAAAACTCTAACAAAAAAAATGTGTGTGTGTGTGTGTGTGTGTGTGTGTGTGTGTGTGTGTGTGTGTGTGTGTGTGTGTGTGTGTGTGTGTGTGTGTGTGTGTGTGTGTGTGTGTGTGTGTGTGTGTGTGGACAAAACACTGAAACCAAGACCAAATTGTCTTTTTGTCAGTCGTGTGTCCTATTGTCTGTGTCCACCAGATGGCGACATTTCATCAATGGGAGGACCTGCGTAGCAAAATGTGATGCATTCACTGACATCTCACAAATAAGAATCTCAGAGGTTTTTTTTTATTTTTTTAAAAAGGTTATGTGAAACCATGAAGAAGTTTACTTTATTTGTTGTCCAATCAAGTTAACTTTGTTTCCACTCAGCTATTTTAGAATTTTATGAAGTTAGGACATTAAAAACGACATGAGGAGATAGTGAGTCTGCCAAAAGTTAGAGTCACAGTCAATATCTTTTATATGAATTTGAGTCATGTGAAAAAAGGTTAAATTGAAACTGAATTGTGTTGTGACTCCAGAAGGTTAGATTTATTGTGCAGTTGCAGCAGCAGCAGTGTGCGTCCTATAAAAAGTGGTCATTTTTAAAATGCAAGATTAAGAGCTGGTTATTTTAAATGACTTTTGGTTGTGTATAAAAATGTTTGTTTATACAATGATATGAAGAAAAAATATGTGTTTGTATTTAATAAAGTTTCTATATTGTCTCTATAGCCTGTCTGATCAGTTCACCTACCCCGTTTCAAAAACAATAATCTTCTATCAATCATATTTAGATTTTAGATTTAGTTTATTTAAAGCAGAACTGGCAGGTACTTTTTATGTAAATGGTCATTTTAACGATAAATGATAAATCTATTTCTGAATGTTTCTGGAGGCACATGATGAACGACCTGGTGGTGGTCTGAAATGATGGGGCGTGGTCTATCTGGTTTTAGCCCCGCCCCGGATACATGGCTCGTGTTTCATAAAGCTTCACATGCTTTCACCGGAAGAGAGACAACCAAACCTTCGTAATTAAATCGAGGGATTTTTGCAATATAACAAAAGAGCAGTGTGCTTAAAAGGACAAAACAAAGAGAGAACAATATTTTCTCAAAACATTATTTCAGCATAATTAAGTGGGCTATATTGGTTCAGGATAAATTATTAATTAATGCTGAGAAGCCGTACAAAGGATATTTTGAAGACTATGTAGATTGAACAAAGTGTGAATTTAAGTTTTAAGAGATTGTTTAGGCTATAACTCCGCCTGAGAGCAGATTCATTTGTCTACACTAAACTGGAAAAAAAGTTGAACTACAAAGCTTCTTGAACCTGCAGCTCTGTTCAAAATCTACTTTTTAAAGTTTACAAATGTGACCTAAGAGTTGCTCCCATCAAAACTATATACATAAACTGATGGCTAGAACATTCAGAGACTGGGAGAAATGGAGGGGGGGGTTTGCGCTTTTAACCAAATAAGACATCTAAATAAGAGTTAATCATTTTTAAAGAAATACTGTGGTCTCTGAGATTGCCCACTATCTGACAGAAATATCCTGAAAGATGGCAGAATCAAAGCTTAAGACCTGGGCAAATATGAAAGAATCAACAAACTGCGCTGATATTTTTTTCCCCAACAAATTTAATTTATGAAAATAAAAAAGTAGGCAAATTAAACAAAATAAAGGCCCCATCAATAAAAATCAATACACTCCAGAAGAATTTGAGATTTTGACAAAACCCTGAGAAACATTTTTCTCTCATAGACTTTAAATATTAAGGCTTCTTTAAACTAATACGGCTCCTTCAGGCTCTTATTCTGAATGTCATTCCACCGGATGTTGAATTCATTGATTCGGCTTCACTGCGGCTGCGCAGACCAGCGAGATCCCAACGCCTGGCTGCTGTGTGCCTCCACTGTTGTTCAAAACGGACGGATAACAAACTGAGATGTCTGGAGGTTTTTTAACGGGGAACAGATCAAACATCTGCTGTTAAAATCAGCCTCGAAGACAAACGAAGAAGAGGAGCTGCAGAGGAGGAGGAGGAGGGGAGAAACGGAGGATAAAAGGAGGAGGACAGGGAGGAAAAAAAACCCGGGACAGTATAATGCTGCAGATTTGAGTGAAAGGTAAGAAAAATCCGCCTCATCAATACTTACTGCTGATTGATTTCAGGCCAGTCGACACAGAGAGGGTGGAGGCTGAGGTGACGGAGGTTAGAAACCGCAGCCGCCGCAGCCCGCAGCTGCTGAATGTAGGTCATTGTGTCTGTGGGCCGAGCCGAACCAAGCCGAAACAAACCGAGCCGGGCCGGGCCGTCCTGTAGCTGCAGCTGCAGCCAGGCCGCAGGCAGGCTGAGGAGAGGAGGAGGAAGAGGAGGACGATGATGAAGATGAAGCCCTGCAGCAGGACCGACCGACTGGTGCTGCAGTAACTACACTCAGTGTCCTCTATCAAACTGCTGACTGCCTCCACTGCTATAACTACCAGCTCTAATAATAATAATAATAATAATAATAATAATAAAATCAAAGTTAAACATGATCTTATTATTTGAAACATACTTTAGTAGAATAGTCTAACACAAGTAGTTTAAATGCTTAAAAACTACTTTTATACCTACCTTCTGTATCTCATCAACTGGGAAATTTCAAAACAAAGACAAATAACAACTTAAGTTAAAGTTTTGTGTCCAAAAAAAAGTCATTATTTAATAATAGTTTAGCTCTAATGTTCTAACTTAATAACATTAATCATTTGCTTTCTGATTTTCTTTGGTTTTAATTTATAAAAACATATATGCCGTCAGACATCTGAAGACATCCTGTAACTCACTTAAATCCAAACACAAAGAAGAAACATTTCTTTCTTTTTGAAAAAGACAGTATTTATTGTTTAACGTACGACAACATCACTCTTGATAAAATGATGGTTGGTTAAACTTGTTTCCAGTGTTCAAAGAAGGATTTGGGTAAAAAAAATTCTATAAAACTAGAGGCCGTGGACTCATTTCAAATTTAAGCCTAAATAAAGGGATCGTGCCAAATCCTCCATCACAAGTCATGTAAGCCTATCATACCAAAGTGTGTCAGGGTTATATTGTCGCCAACATCTGTATCGACATCGACACCAGAGGAAAAAAAGGATAGGTTTTTGTTTTAGTCATATTTCACCTGCAATCACTAATAGGGCTGCATCTAACATATAGTTTCATAACCAGTCCATCTGTTGACTGTTTTACTAAAATTACAATTTAATGAAATAAATGTCTCCTCTCAGATTCACACACTGAACGCTTTAAATACTCTAATGCATTAATGAAACAGACAGACCACAAACAGATGTGAATCTGCTGGGAGACATGCCAGCTGAGGGTCAACCCTTATGGAAAATCACTTTCTATCTGTAGTATACTCCTATAATACAAGCAGGAGCTTCTAATGTGGCTGTTTAAAAGAGTCCCTGATGTTTAATAGAGCACTTTTTTATCTAGTTATATGACTGTCATAGTGTTTTTGATAATATGTCATTAATTCTATGATATTCATACAGAGATCTTGCTTACACTTTCTCTGACCCATGATCAGTGACAGGTTATACATAATGTATAGTGTCGGTCTACAAGGAGCTTGTGGTCTAGCCTCTGAGCCTGCGGTCTAGTATCTGGGGATGTGACCTGGCCTTTTGAGGCCGTGTCAGTTCTTGAGCCTGTGTAGCAGAGTCTGGGCTTTTGGACTGTGTAGGCTTTAAAAAAAAAATGATGAATGGGTCTGGACACATGACCTCGGGTTTACAGGCTTGGGGATAGCATTTTGTAACTGTTAGCGAGTGTTTTAGATTGTTGCCAAGTGTTGAAGGCTGCTGACTGATGTCTGAGCAGAGGCACCGGGTCGGAGTCTGGGGAACACTAATGCCCAAACATGTGGGCTATTGTCCGAGTTAAAGGATTGAAAGGTGAACCTCTGGGCTGTTGCCTGATGATATGGACAAGTGTCTGAGATTATTGGCTTGTATCTGTTCCTATAGGACTGTATGGAACATTGTGTGAAGCTATGGGCAACTGTTTGTGGTGTAGAAGACAATTATCAGTGGTTGAGGACGAAGGCTTGAGGCTGTGGACTGGAGTCTGAACCTGTAGGATAGTATCTGTTCCTTAGGACTCGAGCTGTGGACCAAGATGGGGCGGCAGTGACCCAGCCTGTTGGCATGGGGGTTGGGAACCAGAAGGTTTGCCAGTTCAAGTCCCGGTGCTAAAACAAAGTATTGAATTTAGGACATGGGTGCTGTAGAAGAAGTGCCAGTTAACTTCCCGAGCAGTGCCAAGGCTCCAAACCCCAAACTGCTCGGTCCCTCTTTAAAGTGCGGCCCCTCACTCTCACATCTCTCCATTATTGCATGTCTGTAGGATCCTGTTTGTGCGTGTGTGTGTGTGTCTGTGTGTGTGTGTGTGTGTGTGTGTGTGTGTGTGTGTGTGTGTGTGAATGTTTCTGGCCTTTGTGTGTGTTGCTCAATAATAGAGTGGAAAAACATGAGTTTCCCCTCTGGGATTAATTATTTCTTCTTCTAAATCTTATCATGGTGATCAGATGCAGTGGAGTCTAAACCGGTGGACCAGATTTGATCCTGATGGCCAGTGTGTGAGCTTGTGGGCTATTATCTCAGCATTTGGACTACTGTCTGAGAATTTGGGCAACTGTGGGCTAGTTTCTTTCATTTTTCTTCTTATGTTTTTTTTTTTATTTTGTGGCTTTTATGCCTTTTCATGTTGATAGGTCAGTGGAGAGAGAGAAAGAGAGAGAGAGGGGAATGACGTGCGGGAAAGAAGCCACAGGTTGGACTCTAACCTGAGCCGCCTGCTTGAGGGCTGCAGCCTCTGAACCTGTGGGCTAGTGTCTGAACATTTGGGCTTGCTTTTGACCCTTTTGGCTAGTGCCTGAACCTGTTGGAAAGAGTCTAAGCCTTTTCACGACAATTTTTGGACTTGTGACTCAGGGCGCGGTCACACTGGCCATGAGTCTGTAGGCAAACTGCCTGAACCGGTGGGCTAGTGTCT